GACCGTTCATTAGCCGCCACGTGTCGCCGTCCCCCCAATCGCCCCCCTCTCTATAAAACAAAACTCCCCTCGCCTTCGTCCCAATTCCAGAACCCTAACCCTGGAAATTCCCCAAAATCTGCGTTCATGTCGACCGAGACTGCGAAGAGCTCGACGGAGTCGGAGGTGGTTTCGGGCCTCGATTACGAGGAGACGGAGCTCAGTTTGGGCCTGGGCCTGGGCCTGCCGGGGGCCGGTGGGCCCAGATCCGAGCCTGAGAGGAAGCGGGGATTCGAGGCCACCGTTGATCTCAGCCTTGGCGGTTCCCGCGCGCCACGCGGCGGGGATCTGACGGCGGATTCGTCGGAGGGGCGTGCTTCAGACCCTAGCAAGCCCCCTGCTGCCAAGTGAGTAGGCTGCTGTTTTTGTTAATTCCCAGTTTAATTAATTAATTTTCCGAATTTAACCCTTATAAATTGGAGATTTAACTTGGGAAAATACTTATTCAACCCTTGCTGAAAAGGGCATTGGGTAATTTTGGTGCATGAACTAGGAAGTTAATTTGTTGCAGTTATTAAGTAAACAGGAACTTGAATGGATAAGCTTCGCATAAAGCTTATTTTTTGGGATATTTTATTTTAGAGGTTATTATTTGTTGGGGTATTATTGCTAGATTTTTTTTTGGTTTCCTGAAATGCCCCTGGGTAAAGCCGAAATTTTGTCACGGTAGGAAACTGCTAAAAATGTGTACTTTGTTGAAAATTGTGGAGTTACATTTCTCAAATTTAAAAATTAAATAAATAGCGCCCATTAATAAATTTATCTCCAAAATATGGAAATTTAGTGTTGGATGGTCAAATCTTGCAAGAAATGTCAAATAGAAAGGTATTGTTGTCTGGAAGCAGTTCAACGCATTTTAACTTCTAGGTTTTAGGTGAACGAGACTAGGTATAAACACACAAAAGGCCTTGAATGATGCATGATTGAATACTGCTCTTTTAATGATTTTTGCGGGGATCTTTTTACGTGAGATAACCTTGGCTGAAATACCCATGTCTTGTATTCTTCAGTTTGGTTGATACATAGGAACATAGGGGTTTATTTTACGTTGTGGTAGGGGTAGTTCTTTCATTTCTCGTGCTGTCGACTTTAATAATCTCTAGCTGTGCACAAATTGTTTCAGGGCGCAAGTGGTGGGCTGGCCGCCGGTGAGATCATTCCGCAAGAACGTATTGAAGAGCTGCACCTATGTGAAGGTGGCAGTTGATGGAGCTCCATACCTTCGGAAGGTAGATCTCGAGACTTATGGTGGCTATGAGCAGCTGCTGGCGGCCCTTGAAGAAATGTTCTCTTGCTTTAAAATCCGTAAGTTATACAGGCTTCAAGATCTGTGGTTTTGTTCTCATTTGGATAAATTTGTTTTTACTGACTTGTTCAATGGTTTTTTGAGCAGGTAATGTTTCAAACGAAAGGAGGCTGGTGGATCCTGTGAATGGCACAGAGTACGTGCCCACTTATGAGGATAAGGATGGTGACTGGATGTTAGTGGGAGATGTCCCTTGGAAGTAAGTGGCTTTTTGATTGATTATCAAAATACAGTTGCCTTTTATTTGGGTTGTAAATTGTAGAGCCATTTCACTGTTTGTCTGGATCTGTGAGCATACTGTGAGTTTTTGGTGTCCCGTACAAGCTAAAACGTGGTTCGACACTAAGCCCTACGTTTCAGACAAAAAAAAACTGTAGTCTACTTAAATTTGAATATATTACAAACATGAGATCTTATCACCTGAATTCCGGACCGCGAAGATAACCTTAACTCTTGATAAATAAAATAAAGAAAGTTCTAATTTGATGAATTTAACTCTTCTCTCCACCTCTTTGCCATGGCTTACAATTTGTCTTGTAGAACCCTTTATTTTAGATGCTAGAGGTCTTAATTTTTTTCTGCAAGTTAGAAACAAAACTTTTCATTAGGAAAATTTCTAAAAGATCCCTGAAGTATTACTGAAAACGTCTCTGTAAATGTCTTCAGAACATTCAAATTAAAGATAATGTACTTGGATGAAAAGTTAATTTACTTGAACTTTCTGCGACAATATCACCACAAACAGAGACTTAAATCTCAAAATTTTAGGTTCGGGTTTATGGATCCTGTTGGTTGTTGTCTATTCAAATCAATTAAGGGTTATCTTTCCCATTAAGTTAATATTACTTGAATTTCATGAACATTATTATTCATTCAATAACAACTAGGATTTCGATCTAGTTTCCTTTTACACCATACAACTTTCTAACCAGCATGCAATGACTAGCACCAACTATATTATTTGTTTCGATCACAAATGCAATATTATTATCATTCAGTCTTGTTATTACTGTAGTCCATGGAGTTGACAAATATATATGATATTGGGCACAAAGTAAATGAGGAGGACGTAGATGGTTTTAAGTTATATTGTATTGACAAGAAAATTCTCGTTGTCTCCTTGGCCTGTTCCAATTGATACAGGGGGTGTGACACATTTTGTTGGAATAAATTTTTTTTAACCAAACTTTATGATCTATTTTTGAAAATCGAAGCAACATGAATAGATGGTGGCAATATTCTAGCGAAGGATATATGAACGAATGGGCTCACCATAGAAAGTTGAAACGCATGCAAACGAATAAAATAAGCTGGACTAGCTTCTATATATAGATTGTGGAAGGGAAGATCTAGAACAGTGATAATAATTTTTAAGGATACAACGCAATTGCTAGAAATCTAAGCCATATAGTGATATTAATTGCAGTGTCTTTTTCGTCCAGCTTCTCTAACCAAATCACAAGCCTATTTTATCCAACATGATATAATCAAGAGGTTCAACCTGCAATTATGATGTGAACCTCATGTTAGCTGCCATATCGTGGTTGACAAAATAGGCTAGTGACTAGTGCTGTGGTTAGAGAATCTGGAGAAAACAAGATGCTACAATTATTGAATATATATCATATTTCACCAGTTTAAAGGTAAAATATCTTTCATGTTTTTTTGGAGGTTGCAATTTGTACTCGTTGCAGCATACCTACCTTTTCTCCCTCAAAATTGGTCAGGTGCATAGCAGGCCTGACTACGGGGAAAATTCAATCTACAATTGCGATGTGAACCTCATTTTAGCTACCGTGTCCACTAGTTCTTTAGCGTCAAATATGCATGGTGGCCTTGCTATACCTATATATAACATTTGGAAAATTACATTTAAATTAATCCTATAATGATATAAATCGAGAAAGAATTACCCTATAACGGATGGACAAACCTTATGTCAGCTGTATGCATGTTGAATCGTTGATGTAGAACATGAAAGAGAGCAGGTCTTGCTGTACATAAAAATAGCAGGAAGGCAAACTTCTTCAGCAATTGCTTGTTTCAAAGAAACTTTTACGCCACTTGTTGAATCAATGATTTAAGTAGTTATGGTGGTTGCCTCTTTCCTTATGGTAGATAATGGGATGGGGTAACTGATCCAGCCATAATGTTACTATGTCCATAATGTTACTATGTAAACCAAGTGGAACTAGGAGTTTCTTGACATTTAAATGGCGATAGATTAAGTTGAACAGCTGTTGAGGGTCCCTTTCTTATAACTTCTCCTTTATAATAAATTTAGTAATGAATTGTGTGAAATTATAACCTTGAATCAAAATATTAGTTGATGTCAAAGTGATAACTTTAAGCAAGGATGGAGACAAAACTTGTTCGGCATTGGGTGGTTGCCATCCTGACCTGCTAGGTAGCTAGCTGTTGGCCTTTATTGATTATGTTTACCATAGCACCTAATTTGTTTGTTTGTTTATTTATTTGTTTATTTTAATACCTATATATCAAGGGAAAATTATGCTTTATTTATTGTTGTGTTATTTATTTTTTGCATAATTCATTTTTTTTCGCATGATACCGGAGTTCAAAAGCCATTACTTTATTCAACTAATTATCTGTCATCATCTTTTACAGGAGCAATCTTAATTTCATTTCAATTGTATGTCCGCACATAAGTAAATAACCTATTAACATATCAATATCTCAAGTTGTATCTTTAAATTGTAGCGCCTTGCTTGCGAAATGGTTATTGCACTGCCCTTCTCTTGATCTAACCATCACTGTGAACACTTTGTTAGAGGTTAAATTGTTGGCACCTGATGAAATGACCTGAACTAAGTCGAGAGAAGAACAGAGCTGCGAGTTTAAGGACTCTTTTTGTTTGTGTATTTAACTCTTTTCATATTTGAGATATCTGAAGATATGGTAAAGCCTTTTAAGTATTGAGTGTATACACACTAGAACCATATTGCCAATTATGGCCAATTTCATGTTTCATCGTGGGAGCAATTTCCATGCCCTCAGAAACGAGGAATTACATCTTAGTTATACCTTCCCTATGAACTTTATATTATTTGGTTTACAGAAGTAACCATTGAGTCATCCAACTTGCAGTTGAACATTTTCACCTTTATCCTGAATGTACTTTCTTATTACTCTGTGGATTTTGTACGGATTAAACAGTAATGATTGAGCGAAAATTGATCTCTATGTTTTTCATTACAGAATGTTTATTGCATCATGCAAGCGACTCCGGTTGATGAAGAGCTCAGAGGCTGTCAATCTAGGTAAAAAAAGACCTCGTGCCCATCTCGTCTACTGACATTTCTATTTTCGAATTTAATCCAAAACATCTAGTTTTCAGAAAATGTATGACTTTCTACTAAAAGGATTATGAGATACTTTGATGCGTGTTGTTAACTGTGAGTACAATTTTATTTTGTTTCCAAGTACTGAGATATGGGTATTCAAATGATTTATTGTGTTATTTTACATATGTCGATGATTTGATCATGTAAAAAAGCTTTTGAAGTACTTTAATGTTTGTATAATTAACATATGAACATGTGCCACAAAACTAACCATCTTCTTGCTCTTAAATGCAGCTCCGAGAGCATCTCAGGGAAACACCAATAGCACCCGATGAAGTATTTGGTAGCCAGGATCATTGTTCAGATGATAAAAGATCGTGTACAGGGATTGTTTCTCGTCCTTTGGGTGTTTCCTTTGGAGTTTTGACGGGGTATCTTTCTGAGATTAGGAATAAGGGGCTGTGTTGTAGTTTCAGCGTTAGAAATGTGGCTTGAAGAAAAAAATATATGTGTTTACAGAGATATCTATATGTTTTCTACAGTTTGTTGTTGTTGTGATTAATAAGGTGCAGACTTTGCATGGTGTGCTAATCTTGTATTAATTAGAATTACTCTTTATCTAACCAAAGCGTATGGCTTAAATCTAGAGTATCCTGAAGAGACTTGACCCATGTCTCTGTTATTTATGGATGACGAGTATTGAGACCCTCACAACCCAATAATTATGAAGATGCTATTTATGAGTAAGGTTATTACTATGAATTCCAAGTTCGTAGAGTATTTTCAAGCTGAAGAAAAGCAGCACAATATAATTTTTAGTATTTTAGAATTCGAAGTTTTGCATTGAGTCATCTTAGGGGCTGTTTGGTTCGGCTAAATTTTTGGAAATCATGTAGTTTTGAAACAAAAAGTAGGTTTTTTGACATTTTTGGATTCCAAAACTGTCATTTGGTTCAACTTTTTTTTAAGAATGTATTTTTTAAAAGCTGACATGTCAACACACTTTATGGAAAAGCCAATTTCTCTTTTAAGAGTGGTGTTAGGGGCACACCTCCTACCACACCACCAACCACACTCCCTTCTCCCATCGCTACAGTAAATCGGGTCTCACATGGGATTTTAAAATTTTTAAAATCCCATGTGGGGCTTGGTTTACTGTAGCGATGGGAGAGGGGGGTGTGGTTGGTGGTGTGTTAGGGGATGTGCCCCTAACATTATTTCTCTTTTAAAACTCTGAAATGGGTTGGAAATCTGACAACTCATCAATTACTCTCACAACTCCTTAAATTTTTTGGTAATGAAACAAACATGAGTTTTGGAAATGCTTTCCTATTTTTCATTTTATCATTCTATACCAAACACAAGTTATGGATTCCTGAATGATCCAAAATGATTTTTGGAAATGGTTATTTGTCTTGTATTTCATTTCCATTATTTTACGGAAACGAACCAAACAGCCCCTTAGTTGAACACTAGCGTGATCATAGCTTAAAACTCTGATCAGTCAATAAACGCACGCGAGAGACATAATGCCTCTCTCGTGCATGTTACTGATAGCCACTACCGATTATAACGAGCGGACATGTGTTAATACATGAACGAGAGTGAGATGACAGAGGTTTCAAATTAATCGTTAGATTATGATTTTTGTTATAATGTGCAACCAATAAACATAAACAAGGGGAAAAACATGAGATGAAAATTTAAAAAAAAAATTTGAATTAGGTCATGAACACCGATGTACAAACTACCTAATGTGGTCTTGCATATGATGCACGGCTGGCGCGCTCTAAACCTCAGCTAGGTGTGCCGTTGCACCCCTAGATATCTAGGTAATTACATATAATATCATGTAGGTTTTACGCCCGTCCTTCCATTATTTTTTAAAATTGAGTCTAAGGCCCAATTTATCTGAAAACGTTAAAGAAATTAACAATAATTCGATTTAGCCAATTGAAAAGTAAAAGCTTATTTACATTTTCAACAATGAAGTATACTATAAGTATATTCACATCACATACTATATGTTTATAATATTATATTTTTATTTTAATGTAAATAGACACTCTGTCTGCTTCCGATAAATTTTTTCTAGATCCGCTGCTAATGTACGGGTAGGCCTATCCAAACGGGCCGACCGGGCCTGAGCGGGCTGGGCACAGGCCTGAGCGGGCTGGGCACCGGGCCGATCCGGCTTTTTATTTATTTATTTTCAAGAATACATAGCAAAAAATTAAACAAAATTTTGATAAAAACAATCATATTATTAATTACTTGTAATTATATAATTTACAAATACAAAAAATTATATAAATTAAAATGATAAAAATAACATTTTTATTAATAATCAGTTAATCGTATGAAAAACCATAATTTAACAATTAACGAAAAATCTCTACATATGAAAAAACCATAATTTAACAATTAACTAAAAATCTATTCATATGAAAATGACCAGGCCGGCCCGATCATTTTCAATTGTTTTTTTTTAATTTGCTAAAATTAGATTAATCTTATTATATTTATATAAGTATGTATTATTATATACTTATAAATTATTATATAACTATATATTATATATACATATACTATATGTAAATATATTATATATACTTATAAGTTATAACTTAAAAGAGAGAGAGAGAATCACATAAGTATATATTACTTATTTATAAATATGTATTATATAGTTATATATGTATTTATTACATAATTACATTATGCTTATTTAAGTACAGTTATACAATTTACTTATATGATATACTTTTATATATACTAGATGCAATATACTTATATATTATTATACTTATGCACTTATATAATATACTTATATAACTGTAATTCTATAATATACACATATAAGTATACTTATAACTA